AATTGCTTAAAATTAAGTTAATAAGTTCAAAAATCATTTTGAATTTTAAGAATTTTAATGGGATGCAAAAAATTTTTCCCTGAATGGCGGCAAAATGATTTTTCAAGCAATAAATTCCTGAGGAAAATTACAATTTATTCGAAACAGTGAATCGAGGTTTCACCACTTGAATTTCATCGCTGTATCATGACGCATTAAATAATATTCCACTTCCATGAGATTTTTTACAAAAAAAAAAATTCAAAAGAAAAAATTTGCATGATGTTTATTCGTTTTTAGTATATTCAAAATAATTATTCAATTGATAAATTTCAAGATCAATTTCAAGAAGATCAATAGACAAATTTTTATTCGAATTTTTTGAGAAAATTGAAAAAACATAATTACAAACAAAGCTTTTGCAAAAAAAAATGTAAATCATATATATGGGATAAAGATATGGCAAATTTTTTTGATTACTCATATCATGCTTCTACCATTATTAGCGACGTTTTCTAGTAAATCATACGTTAAAAAACCTTTAAAGTTTCTTCTAGCTATTTGGCTATCCGTTTGGCTATTATTCGAAAGAAAATTGAGCCACTCGAAGAAACAAATATAGGTGAACATCATCAAGATTTCATCATTAAGATTAAGACTTTTAGTGATAGCTCCATTCTCGTCAAGGAATAAGAGTCCAATCTGTGATATCTTGACGTAAAACCTACTCGACGTTCATCAAGGATTCTAAAAAACTGGAAAAATTTAAAAAATTACGTCAAAAGTACAATAAATGTATCAATGTGAACCGTTTTTCTTAACGGTGTATTTTTGAGTTTTTTCGTTTTCTATTATTCTCAGTGGTTTGTTCAATTGAACTTTGAAAATCATGCATGAATTCCTATTTTAGCGTTCATTATTTGACGAAAGAATCGACTAATAATTTCGTGAAAAGCGTATTTAATAAAAAAACCAAATCATTTTTATGGTCTGGTTACTGGCACTTCTTTCATTTAGATAAGCTAGAAAAAAGATGGTAAAAAAATAAGGGAATAATGGTTTGCTAGAGATTTGATGATTTGATTCAATAAGCCAATCATTAAAAATTAATTGCAACATAATATAAATCGGCAAACTTATTGCAAAAAATGGTTAATGAAGTTAACGAAAAATGAGAATTCGTCTCAAATTCTTACTTTAAAAATAAATATAGAGAAAATTTGCAGTTAAATAGCGAAGAAATAAAAGCAGCGAAGATCTAGATTAAATAAATTGCCTAAGGGAAGATGTTCGAAAGAATATAAAAGTAATTATCATTCAGAAACGAATTAATTTTCTTTTCTCTAGCGCAATGGAACTGAAATCTCAGAAAAAGAGAGATCAAAGAGAGAAACTATTTTATATAGAATAAAACAATGAATTGAAAATAAGAAATAAGAAAATTTCTTCTTAAACTGGTTTATTTGGACAAATAAACCAATTGAATTTTAGATAGATCCATTACATTTCTGAAATAAGCAAAAATAGAATATCGATAGGTATTTACGATATCTTTTCTAGTACACTTTAGGTTTAAAAAAAATTATGTGGAAATATTCGTTAAATTACGAAGTAATGGCATTTGCGCGCTTAATTCAAAGAATTTTTTGTTTTCCAAGAGCACTCATCATCATTGATTAGATTCTGATTTTACAAATTTGGCAAATAGTCCTTCGACGATAAAAGTACAGGTAATCGCGAGCATCATCCGAATTTTTAATCAAGTTTTTACTTACTTGAAAAACTTAATCTTTTTTGCAATTTGCAAGAATTTATAAGAATTCATTTCCCTGAAGAAAATTGCTTATGAATATCATTCTCTTTTCTTTGAAAAAAGAAATTTGTAACCAACAAAATTATTGCTTATTGATTTTCTGCTGGGAATAACCTAGCGAGCATAAATATAAAGGAGGATGAATACTGATTAAAAATTTCTTCAAAAATTTCAGATATCACATGCAACTATGGCCAATATATATGCTTTAAAATGGTAAATGATGCGATCAAAGCAAAAGAATTTTAAAATATCGATGTGTTCTTGACAAATGAAAGCGCCAAAAAGCATAAATGGCAAAGAAATAAATAATCGTAAGAAAAAGTAGAAAATCGGCCATCGTAAAACCATCAGCCATCTTTCCAAAAATTCATAAAAATTTCGACAAAACAATAAACGAATCGCTTAATTATTAATGTTTTAGGACTCAAATGAATTTTAAATTTTAAAATAAAAACTGTCTTTGAAAAATGGCATATTTTTTCTAGTCGAATTTATTTTTTATTTTGGAATAAATTTATCCAGGTTATCACTCTGGCGAAATTTTCAAAAGATTTTCTATTAAAACTACTAAAATTTTCAAGAAATATCCAGAAAATTCTTGCAGCATTGCTTAATGATATGGCATTCATATTTGAAGCAAACATGCTAAACAATTGTATTCAAGGAAATAATAATTTCAAAAGCATCTAATTATCAATCTAGCAATTTGAGTAAGTTCATGCTTTCATAATTTTGCTGTTTTATAAATTCATGCATAAATTTAAACTCGATCAATTGAAACTACGGCATTATTCCATGCATTTTTTAAAACTTTTCGTGACCTACACAGGAAAGTAAATCTGTAAAAAAAGTGTTAATTCAGTACTTTAATATACCTATGAAGAGATTTCAAAAATAATTTTTAAAAATAAAAGAATGGTAGTTATTCGAAGCTAAGGGATAGGTTTATTAAATATTGTGTTTTATTGTGTTCACAAATTATTTCAATGAATTTAGGCCTTAATTGATAAAAGGAGATTTCACTAAAAACAATGCAACTTCTCTATAATTTTCAACAGTTGAAGAATTGCCATTGCCATTTTCGTTAGACTCATTCTTACTAACTGTCGAACTACTTGACTAAGGAACCACTTGAAGCCACAGATATAGAAAAGAATCTACAGTACGACATGAATTAGGAAGCATATGGTCCAAGTCATGATGCTCATAATTTGAGCAGCAACTATTCAGTTATCTACATTCCTAATCATTTTTAGCGCATATTTTGCACCAATTTTTAATGTTAACGCATCAGTTCACTAATCGCAACTCCTAGACTCAATCTCAAAATTTTTCAAAAGTATTTATGAAATTATAGGGTAAAATTGTTTTACCTAATTATATTTTTTGGTAAAAACCTTATATGACTGAAACTTTTGAATTTGAACTTTTTTAATCATACGAATCTTTGACTAAACTAAATTAAACTGTGGTGCCGGAAAATGGTGAAAGCAAAAAGGCTTTTCCATTTTTGCGAAATCATGGTAGCTTTTTGCTTTCGCTGTTTTGCGACACTCTTCAATAAAGCTAATTTCATCTGAAAGCATTAATTATTCTATTCAACTTCCCATGACGATTAATGATCAAATATATATATATATATATAATAGACAATGATTAAAGAAATAAATTCGAAAAATTTCTTTAACAAGGGTAATAATATAATTAACAGAACTGCTAAAAAAAAGTTTATTAGTTTAGTTTAGTTTAGTTTAGTTGTTTTCTAAGAGCCCTCATGATTACTGGTTAAACTCGCTTACAAATATGTCAGGGAGTTTCTTGACGATAGAAATATAGGTGAGCCGTCAGCATCACCCCGATTTTTGGACAGGATTACTCCTGCGGAGTATAGAACCTCAGCACCGTCGCTCTGAACTGAATAACACTGAGCGATTCAACTTCCATTTGTTTAGTTTACTTTATTAAGTTTAGATTTTTTTTTTAAGTTTAGTTTTGCGAAATTAATTGTAATTATTAGCTTTTAAAAAATTGTCGCCAAAGAATATGCTATTAAAGTGATCCATTCTTCTTACATTTTTAGTTTCAAAATAAAATATTTTAGTATTGGAAAGAAAAAAATATTAAAAATATAGGGTAAAAATCGAAAATCTCAATAGATTTCGACAAACAATCATTTCAAGCAGTCCAATTGTAGAAAAAATTGGTGTGCATGTGATACATGAGAAAGTAACCAACAACATACTAAAAATGGAAAATAGTATTACAGAATAATTACCACGCAATTAAAAGCACAGGCCTTAATTCGATCAAAATTTGTCTATCCAAATAAGTTCCTTAGGGATTCTTTAGCCTACCTAAGCAACAATCTTTTTTCGTCAATAGTTGCTCATCTATGCTTTCATGCAAAAAATTTTTGAAAATTTTTCGAAAATTTTTCTTGCTCCATTTTATTTTTTTATTAGTTACTTCTTCATTTCCCATAAATTGTCATAATATAATATTGTAAAAATATTTGCCAATTATTTTCGAATTTTTTACTGAAGTAAAGTTAAAATTATCGGCTTATCAACTAGCAAGAAAGCAGTATTTTATGGTAAACCATCATAGTCTCAAATTCAGCAAAAATTTAGAAAATAAACACTATATTTGTCTAAAAGAAAAATATAACATATGCAGTAATCGAATTCCCGAGTAAAAAATCCTCGAAAAATAGTAATTTCCAGAACAATTATAAAAACAATTATAGAACAAAACAAATATAGAACAAATAGAGCATAATGATTCTGGATGAACAGATTTTACCTTACTTTCTGTTCATTTACTTTCTTTCTTATAACTGCTATTTTATTTTTAATTTTATTTTTTAACATCCTTCTAATGTTTGATATTTTTAATATATCTTTTATCTTTATTCTTGAAATTTCAAGAAAAAAATTTATTTACTTCATTGAATAATTTATTTGAGTAAGTTTAAATAGCATATAATATATAAATAAAATAATAAATCTTTTTTTCACAAATATTAGAAAAATTTTCAAATTTTAATGATGAAAAGTAATTTTAAAATTAAAAAAATTTTATGCAAAATTAATTATATTAAAAATTAATGGGTCAAAATAATTTTAGATTATTTGATATTTTGTACGCGGTCGACATTTTTTATTTGGCTTAATAAAAATTATTGAAATTGTTCGAATAATTCAAAATGGATTTTAAAGTAAAGAAACGAAAAATTGGTAAAACACTCTCGCTTCAAGGAAAATCAGAGCGAGCGCATCATATTACTAAATCTGAATCAATGAAAAGTTTATCCAGTAATTATGGCCATAATGTAATAAATAGCAAACAACAAATGATTACACTCGAAAATGTTGAAATTTCTATCAGGAATATTGCAGCTGATGAATTCAAAAGAATGAAAAATATTTCATATACAAAAAGAAAACCTTTTAAATTAAGTGAACAGTCTGAAAAAAAAGCTTGTGGATTTATATCAAAAAATATTCTAGAGTGCTCAAATACCGAATTTCTTACGAGGAATAAAATAAAATATGCAAACGATGATCAGCAATTGATATATAAAAAACTAGAAAAAAGCTACAAAATCGTAAACGAGTCCAATGAGCACGTGGATCTATGCACTGCCCATGAAGGTTGTAATACACGGGATCTAATTTATTATCCTAGTGCGATTGCTAATGGAAAACATTGGAAAAATGAAAAAAAATTTGTGAAAAGCAAATTATTTTTTATTTATCTGCTGCAAACTTTAATTGGTTTATTTCTTAATTTAAAAGAACCACTTTTCCAATTTGCAGAATTCTGTAAAAAACACTCCACAAGAACGAGGATTTTAATGGCACTTTTCATTGTTTACTTCATAATTTTATATTTGGATTTGATCGTAGCTTTACTTGAAATGTTTTTGCAATTTATTTGGCCGTTTACTCATATATTTTTTCAAATATTGCGAAGATTAATGTTATCGAGTGCGGCTGCGATTCGATCCTTTGATCACTTATTGAATGCTGCATACTGTGATATCGCCGAAATTTGGTGTCAGAATTTTAAAATGATGTGCGAAAATCGTTGCTCGTTCCTTTTTATTACTTTGGAGCAATTGTTGAAATTGTAAAATTCTTCCCCCATGAAAAAAAACCATTCAATAATTATTTAAGTCCACTAATCTCGATTTTTTTTGGCCGAAAATTGTAAATTGAAATCAGCTTTTGAATAACACCGTTTTTTTAAAAATATTATAATAATACAATGTTGATAAAGGCGAGATAAATGAATAAATAAGTGAATAAGTGAATTATTGATGGTAGCACTTCGTATCACTTAGGAAATGGTGGCCATTGGTCGCTTGAAAATTGCAGTATTAAACTAAAAATATATAAAAATTGAAACAGTATCTTCCTTTGAAAAAAGAAAACATAGATAAGAAATATTACTGTGATATATTACTGTGACCTGTGACCTATCTAGCGAATATTTTGCAGTAATTATTAATATGTAACAAAAAAGTCATTTCCATAAATTTTTTTCCAAATCCAAGAAAGGAATAATAAATAGAAATTGAAAAAAGTAACACTATGAGTTTTCATACCGTGGTTGAGATGATTATATTAAAGGACGCATAGTATAAAAAATTAGATAAATTACTATTCATAACAAGCGATAAGTTTCAAAAATCAGCGAAAAATCCATCACCAATTCATCTCGTTTATTTTGACCACATCATTTTGGTTAATTTGAAGTTATTCAAGGAAAAAACCCTAAGGATAAGGCTTCGCACATTTCGCCTTCATAGAACCTTATAGAATTTAAATTTCCCACTAAGTCTTGAAATCTTGTAAAATTAAAAAATTTTGCAAAACGTCTATATTATTTATTTATACGTAATTAGTTATTCAGGAAAATAATTCCAAAACGCTCTCGTATCATTTTAAGAATTCTCAATTAATAATTTAGATTTTTTCGGTTGAATCCATCGAATAAGCGGATGAATATTTCATAAAATCCATTTAATCTTTAAAAAGCTTTAAGACTAAAGGAGAAAATATTATAGCTTTCTCATTAATTAAAATTTGATGAGAATATCAAGAATCAATTCTTGATTTTTTGATGCGAATGAAAGCGGAAATTTACAATTGAAATATTTTTGTCAAATATTTAAATTTCAATAAAACAATAAGGAATAAAAATTTTCACATCTAATTTAAGCGTAAGGATTTAAAAAATGCCTTTGGCTATTTGGCTAAAAAGAATTATAAACGAAGCTCAAAAAACAGATGGACCATGAGAATAAATATTAATATTAATTATTATTATTAATTTTAATAAATATTAATAATAAATATTAATTTTGTGAACAGTTGACGATCAGTGTAAGCGGCTTGAGGATAGAAATAAAAGTGGATCCCAAGCACTGGCTGAATTTTTAATGACTGTTTTACTTCTATTTAGCCGGGATAAAAGAACTATGATATTCGATAAATCGTTGCATGGTAATTTAAATAACAACCGTTCCACTACTTTTAATGGCTATTTAATAATGATGATTTCGTAAACAGAAATATAACTTTTGGAAGAAAAAAAATGCCTATAGAAACACAGTATTCATAGGCAAAAATGATTATAATGATTAGCATGAGCATAAGCAAAAAATTCGATAACCATATTGGTAAATGAATTCCCTAGAGTAGTGAAAACAATCACCAACAGGTGTTAATAGCCAAAGAAATTGCACTAGTAATTTCATTGATGGTGCAACCAAGAAAAAATTAACCACAATTTAATGAATTCTATCGGGAACGACAGCTGAGTAGCTGAACAAATATGATGATTATTCAACAATATGTGCCAAGAAGACTTACATTTTTTTTCATTGCGTCCTTCCTATTTTTCCTATTTTTGTTTCTTTCCTGCCTCTACTTTTCTGCTGTTTAATATTGATCGAAAGTAATGATGAAATTAGATTAATTATGATAAAAACTAATAATAGAAAATTTTTGCTTGATTAAAAAAGCCAGATCGAAGGATAAACACGCTGACAAAAATCGAGTAGTCCCATGCAAAGGGATTTCCAAAAACAATGAAATTCGCAAATAAATTTGACCTGCTATAAATAATAAAAGCCAGTGAATCCAAACATTTCACGCTAACTTAGTTAATTCTCATTAAAAATTGGTTGAAAGAATTTCACGATTGCTGGAACGAAAACAACAAATACTTATGAATAAGCGAATTCAAGTCCAATAATTGAAAAAATAATTTAACCACTGTTATCACCATGTATTCTGATAACGAATAGAAAATTTATTATTCAGAATTCGAATTGTATGCTTTAGCCTGAAATTTCTAATAAAAAATTCATTAATATACCGAAGGAATAGAAATTTTCTTTATAAATAGTGGTAATAAGGAGAAAGCGAAATTTTTTCGAGAAATAATATCATTATAAAAATCTTCTTTTCAGAGTGGCTCTCACTTGTTAAATTATTTCCTGGCTAATATTTCCAATCCAAGTGACTGGTGGAGCCTAACGTAACCAGAAACTGTGGGCATCTAATCATTTACATCCATATCTAATTTTTAGATTTCGGCTATATAAAATAGCTTGTTTTGCGTAAAGTATAAATATACATTAAGGCATCGTTGTTATAAGCAATTTCTTCTCATCGAAAGTATTTAAGGGTTAAGTTTTTAAGTTTTGAAAAAATTTCGTACACTTTCTCATAGGACTCTCTTGTAAAGTTATAAGATAAAGAATTAAATTAGAAGTTGGATTAAGTTATAACGAATTATCTGGATTGAAAATCTAAAATCTTGATTTAAAAATTAAAAAGTCTAAAATTCTTTCGACACAACTTAAGCGACATTGATTGGTTGATTTATTTATCACTAGATGACATAACAGATTTGAATTTGAATATTTTAAGACTTTAAAAATAGAATTAAATAATATTATTATAAAAGTGATTTCTAAACATATGGTAGTTGCAGGAAATCTTGAAAATTATCTGTAACCAGATAATTAACTCGTTATAATTTGCTAAATTTAGCGATATATAAACAATTTTTTTGGAAGAATCCCTTAAGGGCTACTTTGTTGACCGGACCTATAGCCAGAAAGAGTCCAGAAATTTCGTCTCGCTTTCTTCTCGTTGCCTTTTATTCGCTGCTATCGCTTTTTTTTGTTAGTTAATAATTTGCAATAGTTTACTTTATTACTTTCTTCATTTCTCATATTATAATATGTATATTCTCTCTTCATCTCCACTATCTCCCATTCCTAATTTTCATTCTCTAAACGATAAATAGTACCATAATAGTATAATAAAATATTATCATCTATATCTTTTTCTTCAGTGCCATATGAAAATAGGATGCTCGAAGACTATCAATCTCCATCAACCGACCAGTCATTAATTTTTGAGATATAAAAGGAAAGTTTTTTGCGAAAAAATTCACATATAGGACACCGTGAGGATTGACAGATTGAGAGCTCTTTCTTGATTCGGTGGTTGGTGGTGCATGGCCGTTCTTAGTTGGTGGAGTGATTTGTCTGGTTTATTCCGATAACGAGCGAGATTTCTTGATTCGGTGGTTGGTGGTGCATGGCCGTTCTTAGTTGGTGGAGTGATTTGTCTGGTTTATTCCGATAACGAGCGAGACTCTAGCCTACTAAATAGTCGGCAAATAACTCGTGAAATGTTTGTGCGACTTCTTAGAGGGACAAGCGGTGTTCAGCCGCATGAAGTTGAGCAATAACAGGTCTGTGAAGATACATAAAGACAACAAACATTTTATTTTTTCCATATCTAATCATTCGATTTCTTTGAAAAGTTAGGCTTTGCCTATCCGACAGAGCCAATTGTATCTAAAAATGCTGTAAAATTCGTCCGAATGAATCTCAATTCTCTTAAAACTAGGCACTTACCAATTCATTTTGTGGTTTATTTGCATCAGCAGTAAACGCAAAGCGGATTATAAGGGCATCATAAATGAATCCTCCGTTCAAATTATGTTTCACATTTTTTGCAAATAATTTATCCTAAAAATTTGCAAGAATCGAATGTCTTAAAAGAACTTTGTTAGTTCTATATTGATTATTCATACTTTCAGACGTTAATTTTTTTTATGCCCAAATAATTTTCTGCAAAAGGGACCTTACTCAAGTAATCCATAGAGTTAGCTGAGCCAAAAATGGCGAGGCCTGAAAAGAGAAAAAATTTATGGGCAGTTGCAATTCCCTTTTCTTCAATCAATGATTCCGAGAAGTATGTCTATTCCCGATAAAAATTACACAATGGTTACCATGATTTTGTAAATAAATTCGGTGCATTCATTGCCGATTGGGAGATATATTGAAAAATAACTTCGCCTAGGTTCAATATAATGAATCTTTATTGGAAATAATTATTTCCGTTGACGTAAAAACTATGATTATGAAACAATAAAAGTTATTTGTTTTATCGATTCTTAAAATTATTAGCCACGCATTTGCCTTTAAGATCTCAAAACTGAATTTTGTTGCGATAAAAAGTTGATAGTGATTTCAGCTACAGAGCAGCAATGTTCTCCTTGATGCTACGGAAAAATTCCTTATTACTGCAAATGAATCCAAATATACGCCAAATATCAACTGTAAACAAATAAACAAAATTTTATAAAATCTATAAACACACAGAAAATTTTATTATGGAATAATTTTTGTTGCATTTAACGCTTACTCAGTCATCATCTTATGAAGCTCAACATGACTGAAACGTTTGACAAGTCAGTTCACTTAGCCGGAATAAGGATTTTTGGTATGCATGGATTTCCATGATTAACAATGACATTGCTGTTTTTAAAAGTATTGATGAAACGAATAAGAAAAGAAAAATTGTTGCTGTGTCGATAGTTATGCTAATGTTCGCTGCTATATTAATTCATTATTTCATTATCTAAATGTTTGAAATCGTGCTTTATGTAGAACGGATGATTGAAGAAAAATGTATTGGGAACAAAGCATAATATTTGATACATTAATATAAGTTGAAGCAAAGGGAATAACAAAGCAAGTAAAGCCGAACATCCGCCTATCATTTCTCTCAAAGGTTTGAAATCAAAATTTTTTTCATTTTC